CCTTTAAAATGTTGCTTTTCTTGCACAGGATGAGATCACAGAGATGAAGAGGAAACTGAGAATCATGAATCATCAGATCGACCAGCTCAAAGAAGAGATCCAGTCGAAGGAAGCCGCCCTGGTCAAAGAAGTGCTCGAGCACCAGCGAGTGGACAAAGAGAAAGAGACCCTTAAAGTAATGTATCTTTTACAAGTGCTGTTGTATTTGAAGAGCACACGGGGAAAACCGGCATAGTCAAAAACTGGAAATTGGGAGGGTGCCAATTTTAAAAGCTTGTGGACTCATAACTTCATATTTGTTTGACTGGTGGTTGATTGTTAAGTGTTGTTGAATGGGAAATCTAACCGCAATAATCAACCAACAGTTGGACAGAAATACAGTTATGAGTTACCAAGCGTTCAACATTGGTACCCTTGCGATTTTCGGTTTGTGACGAATCTTTTTTTCCCCTGTCTTCATTTCACTTTCTGTTTGTGTGTAACTTTGTGTGTCAAACTTTCTGTTTGTGTGTAACTTGGTGTGTCAAACTTTCTGTACGTGTGTAACTTGGTGTGTCAAATTTTCTGTATGTGTGTAACTTGGTGTGTCAAATTTTCTGTTTGTGTGTAACTTGGTGTGTCAAATTTTCTGTATGTGTGTAACTTTGTGTGTCAAACTTTCTGTTTGTGTGTAACTTGGTGTGTCAAACTTTCTGTACGTGTGTAACTTGGTGTGTCAAATTTTCTGTATGTGTGTAACTTGGTGTGTCAAATTTTCTGTTTGTGTGTAACTTGGTGTGTCAAATTTTCTGTATGTGTGTAACTTGGTGTGTCAAATTTTCTGTATGTGTGTAACTTGGTGTGTCAAATTTTCTGTATGTGTGTAACTTGGTGTGTCAAATTTTCTGTATGTGTGTAACTTGGTGTGTCAAACTTTCTGTATGTGTGTAACTTTGTGTGTCAAACTTTCTGTTTGTTTGTAACTTTGTGTGTCAAACTTTCTGTATGTGTGTAACTTTGTGTGTCAAACTTTCTGTATGTGTGTAACTTTGTGTGTCAAATTTTCTGTTTGTGTGTAACTTTGTGTGTCAAACTTTCTGTTTGTGTGTGTGTGTGTAACTTGGTGTGTCAAACTTTCTGTATGTGTGTAACTTTGTGTGTCAAACTTCCTGTATGTGAGTAACTTTGTGTGTCAAACTTTCTGTATGTGTGTACCTTTGTTTTGTCATGCCTGGTATGATGCTTTCATTAATGTTGGCAAGAAGAAAAGAGATGGTTTTTGTGGGTACAGAATAATTCTTTGTTGAAGTAAATTCAGTTCTAATTTTATCTATCAAACTAAAAGTGTTTCATGTGTCTCGCACGCTCTTATGACCTTATGTAGTTGTGAGCGCCGTAAAACACTTGCCAACCCCTTCCCCCAACCCTCCCCCACCTAATTTTGAATGTTAAACTTTCTGCATGTGTAGCTTTGTGTGTAAGACTTTCTGTATATGTGTAGCGTTGTGTGTTGAACTTTCTGTATGTGTGTAAAACTTGCTGTATGTCTCGCTTTGTGTGTTGAATTTTCTGTGTGTGTGTAAAACTTTTTGTATGTCTCGCTTTGTGTGTTAAATTTTCTCTGTGTGTGTAAAACTTTTTGTATGTCTCGCTTTGTGTGTTAAATTTTCTGTGTGTGTGTAAAACTTTTTGTATGTCTCGCTTTGTGTGTTAAATTGTCTGTGTGTGTGTAAAACTTTTTGTATGTCTCGCTTTGTGTGTCAGATTTTCTGTGTGTGTGTAAAACTTTTTGTATGTCTCGCTTTGTGTGTTAAATTGTCTCTGTGTGTGTAAAACTTTTTGTATGTGTGTATCTTTGTGTGTTTGAACTTGCTGTATGTGTATCTTTGTGTTTAAACTCGCTGTGTGTAACTTTGTGTGGTGTATGTGTAGCGCTGTGTGTTGAACTCGCTGTGTGTGTTTAGCATTGTGTGTTAAACTCGCTGTATGAGTGAAGCTTTGTGTGTTGAACTTTCTGTATGTGTGTAATGTTGTGTGGTATATGTGTCGCGTTGTGTGTTAAACTTTCTGTATGTGTGTAGCATTGTGTGTTAAACTTTCTGTATGTGTGTAGCATTGTGTGTTAAACTTTCTGTATGTGTGTAGCGTTGTGTGTTAAACTTTCTGTACGTGTGTATCTTTGTGTGTTAAACTTTCTGTATGTGTGTAGCTTTGTGTATTAAACTCACGCTGTGTGTAATGTTGTGTGGTATCCCCCGACAGGCGGAGCTGCAGAAGATGAAGCAGCAGGCAGCAGAGAGCAAGGCTTACATTGAGGCTCAAGAGGCAGAGGAGAGGAAGCTTCTCAAGATCATTGCCGAGGCAGACGCTGAGAGAGTGAGGCAGAAGAAAGAGCTGGATCAGGTGAGGGGCTTATCTGTCTGTCTGTCTGTCTGTCTGTCTGTCTGTCTGTCTGTCTGTCTGTCTGTCTGTCTGTCTGTCTGTCTGTCTGTCTGTCTGTCTGTCTGTCTGTCTGTCTGTCTGTCTGTCTCTCTGTCTCTCTGTCTCTGTCTGTATCTGTGTCTGTGTCTGTCTCTGTCTCTCTCTCTCTCTCTCTCTCTCTCTCTCTCTCTCTCTCTCTCTCTCTCTCTCTCTCTCTCTCTCTCTCTCTCTTTCTCAAAGAAACACACTTGTCAGTAGGATAATATCTAATTTCAACCAGAAATATGCTTTGAATGTAGTTTGTCGGAAGGAAATAAGTGCAATATTGTCCCCTACCAGATGGTCATGTCTTCCTCTTTGTGGGTGGTTGGCGGGTGCTCTGGTGTGGTTTGCTTCTCTCCTTTCAAACATCTATCCTCTTTATCTCCCCTCCTTTTTTGTTGCTCTCTTATAACACCTTTAATCTTCAGCATTTATATGACCTTATTGTGTTGCAAGTGCTATAAAACTCTCACTGTGTGGTTTGCTCCTTCTTTCCTATCAAACATCTATCGTCCTTGTCTCTCCTCCTTGTCTCTCCTTCTTTTTTTGTGTTAGTTACTCTCTTGTAACACCTCTAATCTTCGGCACTTATATGACCTTATTGTGTTGCAAGTGCCGTAAAACTCTTACTCAAACAAAAGACTTTCCTCTCTTCAACAACATCTCAGGTGATCAGCGAGAGAGACATCCTAGGTACACAGCTGGTGCGGCGTAACGACGAACTGGCTCTCCTGTACGAGAAGATCAAGATTCAGCAGTCGGTTCTGAACAAAGGGGAGGTACAGTACAACCAGAGGCTGGAGGACATCAGGGTTCTCAAACTGGAGATCAAGAAATTGAGGAGAGAAAAGACCATCTTACAGAAGAGTGTTGCCAATGTGGAGGACCTCAGGTAGGTTGACAGTACAATAGTGTACCCAACGATGTAATGTGGGGGGGTTGGTGGGTGCTGTGGGGTGGTTTGCTTCTTCTTTCCTATGAAACGTCTATCGTCCTTATCTCCCCTCCACATTTTTTGTGTTTGTTACTCTCTTGTAGTGGGTGGTTGGCGGGTGCTCTGGTGTGGTTTTCTGCTTCTTCTTTCCTATGAAACATCTATCGTTCTTAACTCTACTCCTTCTTTTTTGTGTTTGTTACTCTCTTGTGACACCCCTAATCTTCGGCCCTTATATGACCTTATTGTGTTGCAAGTGCCCTAAAACTCTTAAGAAAACTAAACAACAATGTAACGCCCAAGTCCACAGAAAAACTTTAGGTCTCTCCATTTTTAATAAAATCACACATTGGCCATAAATCCCTTGCCCCCTCAGGGCTGTGCCACTGACTGAAGTGTCTTTTGGCCATTCCCAAAGGGGGGATATTAACATGATCTTATGCACAGTAGAATTGTAAATGGGCTGATTTATCAATGTCATGCTCATGCTGTGCCGGAACAACATTGGGGGAACTGCTTCTTTTTCTTTCCTCATCCTTACTACCGTCGTTTTTTCCTCTACTTCTTTTGTATGTTTGTCACTCTCTTGTGACCCGCTATTTCCGGAGTGCCTTGATAGTCGAAGCAGACTTTGTGCTTCTGAAGCTAGAGAGATGAGCAGGGTAAGCCTGTTTCCCTGTTTGGACTTCTCTGTTGACATCCATCCCTTGGCTCTCATGTGACCTTATGCAGTTGCAAGCACCGAAAAACCCTACTTAAACTAAACTAAAAACCTCTGACATCAATTGATCATTGCAGGTTTCCAGTAGTCATAGTTCTGGCTTCGTTTGTCTGTTATGCTTTGACAACTTTATTTTATTTTATTTGGACTTTAATCTGATTCTCTTACCTGAAACTCATTATTTTGGTGGGCTTTTTTTTGTCTTGTACCATCAGGAGAGAAGTGTACCACATCCAAAGAGAGCTACTGAGAGAGCGAACAAGATGCAAGGCTTTGGAGGAAGAGCTGGAGAACCCGATGAATATTCACAGATGGAGGAAACTGGAGGTGAGTACGTCCTAGGGCAGAAGAGGAAAGATGAACGGAAGGAGGAATTGGCAGTTGTCGTTTGTAGACCCAAAGTACGATGTATGGGTTATCGTAAATGCATTGAGTGATGACATAATTTACTCAAATACGGTAAAATTATTATAAATTTGCTAAGATAGTTTTGGAGTACCTTACGCAACCTGTCTTTTTCAAAACCAAAAGTAACAAAAGTGCCATAGATCGAAGTATTCCAAGTTGGTGTATGGCCCGTGATTCAAAGTAGGCAAAGCAATTTTCCTAATGTCAGAATGTAATATTGTTGTTGAAGATGATGTCTTCAGCTTGCTCGTTCTTGTTACATTTTGTGCCTAAAATGGTGAAAAGCTTTTGTCATTTCCTCTTTTTTCAGAGTTCTGACTAGACTGAGTTTTTTATTGTTTGAAAATTAGAAAAAAAATGTACTTAGTGAAGAAATAGTATGTTCTTAAAGGATGTAAGATATCTTAAAGGTTTCTACTTGTTGGTTTTTCACGTTAAGACTTCAGAAGTGAAACAAATATCAGTTGTCTCTTCTCCCAGACTACAACTAAATGATGTGAATATTATTGTTAGGACAAAATACTAGCCTGAATTACTCGACAGCTGTCGGAGAGTAGAGGGACTGATCCATTCACAAGCCCTGTGCGGTCGTTGCCACGGTCAACTTACAAGCAGAAGCACTTGTGATGAGACAGTTTTATAAGAAATATTTCCAGTGTTGACTCAATCAATGCTGAGTGCTCCAGCAGTGAACTCCCCTCTACTGTGCATAAGAACATGTTAATATAATTTCCCCCACTTTGGGAATGGCCTAAAGACACTTCAGTCTGTGGCACTGCCCTGCGGGGGGGGGGGGGGGGGGGGGGGGAATCATTTTTAAAAAGCAAAATGGCCTACTCCAGCTTGTAAAACATTTAGAGACACAAAATGTGACAAATTGTGAGAACTTTAGTGCGATTCTGATTTAGTTTTTCTTTGATACTTCAGCCCAGAAGTGGGTGATGGACTACAACGGGCAAACAAATAAGATTTTTCTTATAATTATTGAATTTTCAATTCTTAGATTCCCCTAAAACATAATTCAAGAATTTGTGCTTTTTCCCAAGTAAACTTGACAAAGGCAGTTTTGCTATGGCAGCATGAAATTAGGTTTTCCCGGGGAAATTGATCAGAACTAGTGGGCTCAAAGGCTATTGGAACAGAAAAAATGTCTCCTTGACCTTTCCCACAACGCATCACGATTAGATCTATTAATAACTTTGTATGGATCAGATAGAGTAATTCTTTCCACAAAGATAACGAGGCAGAATGCGAGAATACTGGTCGCTAATATGAGGATGGGGCCCAGGTTTCGCAAGTATTCTCGTCTGTAGCACTGAGTGAGTTAAGAAATGTTTCAAATTTTTTAATTCGAAAAGGTTGAGAAGTTGTTAGTATTTTGTCTAAGCAGCACAGTGATAGTTTTATTTTTAGTTAAAGAGTGTGCCAATCTAATTCTACAACCAGAAATCTGTTTTAAATGTTGTATGAGGTCCCGTGAGTAGTGTATGTCGTCTGAAATGAGAATGGGATTGAACTAAACCCTTACTAAAAATGTTGTATGTCAGAGGAAAATAAGATGGGTGGTTTGCAGGTGCTCTGGTGTGGTTTGCTCCTTCTTTCCTATCAAACATCTATCATCCTTATCTCCCCTCCTTCTTTTATTTGTTTGTTACTCTGTTGAAACGCCTCTAACCTTCGGCACTTATATGACCTTATTGGGCTGCAAGTGCCGTATAACACTTACTAAAACTAAAAACTAAAGAAGAAAATAAGCTGTGTGTTCTTTCCTACCGGACAGTCATGCTTTCATTTGGAAAACTGCTGTGGTAAATTGTCACTTTCAGGCTAACCCAGATTTCGAGGGTTTCCAGAAATCTTGACCTACACCAAAAGTGGGCATTGCCTTACTTATAAGAGAAGTTTGGTTTCATTGGTGTGTTTATTTGTTTGGTTACAGAGAAAATTCTCCTTGTCTTTTAAAGAAACTGAACAAGGGGCAAAAACTTTACCTACGATTTTCTCAAAATAACATTTTTTTTAGATAGCCTTCTTGTGCTTAAAAGCGACCAATTATGCTCAAAATAGAAATTGTCTGTGTTGTAGGGAAGTGATCCGTCCACCTACGAGATGATTCAAAAGATCCACACCCTTCAGAAGAGGCTGATACAAAAGACGGAAGAGGTGGTTGAGAAGGAGCTTCTCATTCAAGAGAAGGAAAAACTGTACCTAGAACTGAAACATATCCTAGCGAGACAGCCGGGACCCGAAGTGGCCGAACAGTTGACCATCTACCAGCAAACTCTGAAAGAAAAGACGAAACAGATGAAGGTAACCTGTCAGTGTTTTGTCTGTTACTGGTTAGTAATAGTAATAATAGATAGCATTTGTACAGCGCAAATCCCCGCTCAACAGCAGGCTCTATGCGCTTCACAATCTATACTATTACCCTAGCAGACCTGAGAGGGAATGTATATGTTAATTATGTTTGTAACGGAGCTTCTTATTAACATAATGTTACGTTTAATTGCATTTGCTATTTAGCAGCAACCTTTGACCTGCCAAGATTAATCAAAGGAAACTGGTGTTGCTTCGTTGTTTTATTGGAAACCGGCTGCTTTTCAACGCTTTTCCCGCCACTGCTGTTGATATTGTTGCCCTTTTGTCTGTTTACTCGGACTACCGGAGGCGATATTGCCTTCTCTACTCAGCTTTTGTCTGTTTACTCGGACTACCGGAGGCGATATTGCCTTCTCTACTCAGCTTTTGTCTGTTTACTCGGACTACCGGAGGCGATATTGCCTTCTCTACTCAGCTTTTGTCTGTTTACTCGGACTACCGGAGACGATATTGCCTTCTCTACTCAGCTTTTGTCTCATTACTCGGACTACCGGAGACCATAGTGCCTTCTCTACTCAGCTTTTGTCTGTTTACTCGGACTACCGGAGACGATATTGCCTTCTCTACTCAGCTTTTGTCTGTTTACTCGGACTACCGGAGACGATATTGCCTTCTCTACTCAGCTTTTGTCTGTTTACTCGGACTACCGGAGACGATATTACCTTCTCTACTCAGCTTCTTGTTTGCATGCAGTGATAAGATTCTCAGTGAGGGTGGTTGGCGGGTGCTCTGGTGTGGTTTGCTTCTTCTTTCCTACGAAATGTCTATCGTCTTTATCTCCCCTCCTTCTTTTTTGTGTTTGTTACTCTCTTGTAACACCTCTAATCTTTGGCATTTCTATCACCTTTTTGTGTTGCAAGTACCGTAAAACACTTATTAAAACTAAAGATTCTCAGGGTTTGATTTTTTTTCTGGGGTTCTAAATGCCAATTTGACCTAATTGTTACTTTCAGCATCGTTGTAGCTTTCTAGCATTTCGCTTGAAATATCCTGGCATCCTATCCCGTAGACTGGATGTCTGTCGGGACGCTTTTGAAGATTTGGCCACCAGCTTCCTCCACTCCTTCCGGTTTTCAGTTTTCCTGAGCGTGTCTTTGAGTTCCAGGCCTGTCCATTCCTTGATGTTGTCCTCCCAACTCCTTATATGGCAATGTTATTTTCATCTTTTTCTAGGGCATGGCTTCAGAGCTCAACATGTACGAGTCACAGGTTTCTGAATACAAGTATGAGATAGAGAGGATCGCCCGAGAACTACAGGAGGTCAAGAAGAAATACTTCATGCAGAAGAAGAAAGAGCAACAAGTCAAGTAAGTGGAACTTGCTCTGAACTCTTGGAAAGTTTTTTAACACATTACACCCTAAGAGTCTGGACGGGAAGTCCATTGTTAGATCCTAAGCAAGGGGAAGGAACCCACCTCCCGTGAATACAAGCCTTTAAAAAACACATTTAAAAAATACTAAACAAGTTCCAAAAATCCTGAAAAAATGAAAGCTAAAACGAAAAATGAATGTAGTTTCAGAAAAATATAACTTTATGTATGCGCAAACTGTTGGAAATGTTCTAACTTTTGTTCAATCGGGGTGTCCGACCCGTCACTCTCACTCTCACTCTTATCTTCGCGGTCAGGCCCTAGATCTAAATTCTAGATTTTCTACGTGAATCGCCCCAAACTCTTGCTACATCATTTTCATTAAAATCTGAGTCATCTGATCTGTCATATGCTGCGAATCCATCGTTATTTCCTTTTTTCGAACTCAATTGTGTCGCTTTTCAACAAGTCGAGACACCTTCGAAGTGTCGGAAACCCGATCACACTTCGATCGGCTCTAATACTAAAACTACTGGCCTGAAAAATGTTGTTTTGGTATCAAACGAAAGAAGAAACTTTTTGCATAACTATGCAAATCAAAATTTTGGCCCCAAGGTGAGACTTTGTTTCTAAAGACGCTAGGTCGTGGTGGGCGGTTCCAGGCGGGTCAGGGTGGAGCGTGTAAGGAAATTCCCGGTCGGTCCTGGGCGGGTTACAGTGTAATGTGCTAACAACAAAGTTCTTTTCAATTCAATGTGCTTTGTGTTGACAACTTTTGAAGAGTATAGTACGCTTATATGACTTTGTACAGTTGCGAGCGTCGTAAAACACTTACAAAAAAAGAAGAAGAAAATATTAACTGTTTTTCTTATTTTTCCTGCCATGTTATAGCAGTCACTTGCTTTAAGAAAGGAGTGGAGAAAAGAAAGAAACAACCAAACAAAGCTCTGAATGGTGCTTGTAACTCTAAAGTGTTGGAAACATTTTCTTGGTAAAAGAAGGAAAGATTCTTTTCTTGTTGAGCTATTCTACATTTTTTTCAATCATGGGGTTGTTTCTTTGAACACTTTTTATACATATATATCTATTATCTATTTGTGGTGGCCGAATTCTGCTATTCAAAAGGCTCTTTGATGGCTGCATCGATCGACATCCGGTTTCGGCCAAAGGATTCTTTAAAATATTCTCCAGATCATGACGCCCTTCGTTTTTTCAGTTTTGAAACAGTTTTGTTGCGAAAAACTAAATTTCTTTATTTCGCCGATCGCTTTTGTAGGCCGACGCTTCTGTCTCTGTAATTTTAGAAAAGGAGGTTTCCGTTCACTAACCGTGCGCACTGTTTTGAGAGTATAGATCTAAACCTTCTAATTTTTACATCTCTCAAGATTTATTGCTCCATTCCAGTAGAATGTAAATACCATCCAATGACTTTCGGCTGACGTTAGTGCACCGATCATTCCTTTCATCGAAAGGGGGCCCAGCTAGTATATATATATATATATTTATGTATTTGTAGCTCTGGACTATACGCAACTGAAAAATTAGATGTGAGCCAGGAAATATAAGTACTGGTAATGGTAACTCTTTGAAAGCGAGAGTATGTGTACGAGGCCATTTTATGTACATAGCAGGTTCGGAGAATGTGTATATACAGCCATTATTTAAATCTAAACAGTAGGTTTAGAGAATGTGTATATTTATCCATTATATCTACGTAGCAGGTTCAAAGAGTGTATATACAGCCATTATTTAAATATACACTGTATGTTTAGAGAATGTGTATGTACTACCATTATATCTACATAGCAGGTTGAGAGAATGTGTAATATATATATATATATATATAGCCATTTTTAAATTATACATAGGAGGTTGAGAGAATGTGGCCAAAGGGTTCTCATGCTCTGGTGGCGAGTGACATGTTTAATTTGAAAGAAATTGAGTCCTAATTTTTATTTCTTTTCCATTTTGTGTATTTCCTCCAGGGAACGAGACAGAGCCTTTGCTCAGGCGGGCGCCCCTCAGATCATGCCACAGAGAACCGACGCTCCAAGATTTACCGGAGGAGGCTTCAACTTAAAAACGACAAAGTCCGCTGCGTAATCCACCTCCCCTTTTTCAGCTACGATGACTGCACAATATCTTGAATGCCAATAGATTATGCGCTTTTTTTCTTGTTTTTGAAATTCTGTAAATATACAGACTTCAGTTTTGAAACAGCATTTTAATGAGACTCAGTTGTGTCTGATTTTTTAATCTAATCATCTTCATCTATGACATTTTCTCTCTGGTGGGAGTAATTTTTAAAAAGTCAGGTATAAGGTTCACTTTAGTTGCCTGCTCCACTCGGCTTTTGTGCCTCAAATTGTAACTGTTACGAGACTTTGGTAGTTTTTGGTTCCTCTAGGTTGAATTTAGTCTGAATCTGAATTGCATTCGGTCTTTGTTGGTATTGTTTGTATTTCTGTACATTCCATTCAATCATTCAATCCTTCCAGTAGAACTGCAAAGAAGTTTGCTAACCATAGTCATCATCGTTCGTAAAAAAAGATCCCAAGTTCAGGTTCCTGTATTTTGGATGAATTTCTGCTCTTGATTTTTATTTTGGTTTATTTCATTTGGCTGCGAAACCTAAGATATAGTTTAACACTTTGCCGCCTCATGTCGACGATTGGCGATGTTTACCATCCTGTTTCTTTGTAATTTTCCCTACATATGATGTCAAGGTGTTAACTGTATACTGCGAAAAGTTTTGTTATTGTTGTTGTTTCAACATTTTTTAGAATTGAAAAAGAAAGTGAAAATCTTATTGTAATTTAGAAAGTGGAAAGTGCAGTTTGATTTAGAAAGCAAAAGAGTGGAAATATGTTCACACGTTTTGTCCCTGTTGTCTTCATATGTGAAGCATCGTGGTAAATTCTGTCGTTCGTCAAAATAATGAAATCGAAGAAACTGGCATTTTTCTGTCGTTTGACGATTTTTATCGAATTTTTGTTTTGTGACTCAGCACATTTAAGGTCCATTTAAAACCACATTTCTGTTTGGATTTTATTGAAACATGTTGATTTAAAGCACAGAAATGTTAATTTTCAGTTTGTAAGTACTCTCAAGCTTAGGAAGTCTCCAAAATTTGGCAGCCATTCTCTAGCTAATTTTACTTCTGAAACCAGGCTACTCCCACCTCCTTCAATCGCAAATATCTCGACAGCTATTGATGATAGATGAGTATTCTTTTCACTTAAAACAAGGCAAATGAACATGCTTTAAGATGATACCAATTACTCCGCAACTCCAAAAACTGACGAGCGCCTAACTCTGCCGTGTCTTGACACATATTCTCTCTTTGTCTCGACACATATTCTCTCTTTGTCTTGACACATACTCTCTCTTCTTTAACAAGTTTGCATGTTAGACTTTCATGCAGTTTCTGGTACGGTCATGTAACATTCTTTATTTGACTTTGAGTGCATCATTCACTTTATTAAGTACCAAAAACAGATTGTGCAAAAGGTAGGATTGTTCGTCTATTTGTCAGCCCTTTGAGGACAGGCAAAATCTTGCAGTGTGCTGGTATGACTTTTCTTACAGAACTTTTCTATCACTGCCTTTGTTGTCAGGCGTGGGTCACCTCCCTCACTCACTGCCCAGTATAAAGGGTTCAGTTGTATCGCTTAGAATCACGGAAGTGCTGTTCCAAATTCAATTGGTTGTTTAGAGAAGCAATCCTCTTTTGAATGTTTTTTTGCAGATGTCAGGGACAATGTTTTGTTGAAGGAAAAAAATACAACATCTTTCTTGAGAGTGAAGTCTTGAAGATTTAGTGTTATTTTTTCTTTTTTAAAAGGATGAATCTGATAAAGAAACATTAATACTTCTGGAAAAATCGGTTTCCCCAATTTGCTTTTTCTGTTACGCTTTGATATTGTTTGCTGCAGTTTCCTGACTTGTGATATGGTAGCTAATATTTGATTATTTTAATTAATATTCATGAAATCTTTCCCCAATTTCAAATCTGTATGACACAAGATCTATGCTCTGTAAAAATATGAGGCCTTCTTGTTTTTGTATATTAAACCAAATAGAAACAATTACTCTTTTTGTTATTTGTTGAGTGACGTGTTCTTAGCTATTGGCTTTGCGATGTGGTGTTCTCATGGGAGAGAGCTAATAGCAGGGCTCCTGCGGCCTCATTGAATTCAAGGAGTCCTTGAAAGCCTCTTGAATTTGCATTCAAGTTCAAGAAGAAATCTCCTTGAAAAAACTCCTTGAATTTGAGAAACCTCCTTGAAAACTTTTTGAATTTCACAGGATCGGACATGAACAAAATTTCTGTCGGACAATCGAAACTATGATTCCTGTTGGACAAGCGTAAATCTAGGCCTATCGGAAATACATGTAGGCTTTCAGGGTGTGAGTGTGCTGTTGAAAACGGCATGAATTTCTTGACTAAATCTCCTTGAATTTTTTAAAGTTCTCCTTGAATTTGGTGGGGAGTTCATGGTAGGAGCCCTGTAATAAGGCCAACAGCAACCCTGAAAGTGGAAAGCTTGAAAAAGGAGGAAATCAAATAAAGAGTGTAGGGGGAAATGGCAGAACTTTTCCATTTTTCTTTTTGTCTGTTTTTATCTAATTCAGCTTGTTCTCTTTTTACCACAAATACCGTATTCCTCAGAAACGGCTGCAGTCACATCCTGGTGTCATGTTTAAGATTGTCACACATGGGGGGATTCTCATCATCATCAGTACTTTTCACCCCTGGTAGGGTATAGGCCACATACAACCTCCTTCCATTTATCTCTGTCCTGGGCCATCCTTTCCCCCCTGGCAGGTGTGGGTCTGTGTTCAGTTGTATTGTTTGCAAGTTGATAAAAGTCTGAGTTACTACTGGTGGGAGTTGCAGAGGAGAGAGTTGTATCAAGGCAGAGGAGGCCTGCTGATAGTATAGATTGTGAAAAAGGCTAGTTAGAGCCTCGGTTCAGTTGTGCGTGAAGTGTGAGATTCCAATCCAACACATCGGGGCCCCAAAGCTGCGGAAGGAATCACAACACAGAGCAGAGGAACAGGTTTGGCTTAATCCTGTTATAGTGGCATGTGACAGAAGGTTAGTAGTGTAAAATCTTTGTTTTATGTTCCAAGTAACAACAGTTCAGTTGTATTATTTGGTGCAAGTGTATAAAAGCAGTCTGGATTACTACAGGTTAGACTTTAGAGGGGAGAGCTGTAGCAAGGCAGATGAGGCCTGCTGAGAGTACGGGTGGAGAAAAGGCTAGTTAGAAGTTGGAGTTAGAGCCTCGGTTTATTTCTGTGTTGCGTGTGAGATTCCAACGCATCTGGGCTCCATCGCTGAGGAAAGGATCACCCTCCGGAGAGGAACAGGTTTGGCTAACCCCTGTTGTGGGCGCAGGCAGACAGAAGGTTAGTGTTAACCTTTGGTTTATGTTCAAGTGACAACAGTGTGTTTGCTCCTTCTTCCCTATTAAATACCCATTCATTTGGTAAGAGTTTTACCGCCCTCATGACCGCATAAGCTTTTCTGAGCTCGCTATTTCTCCTCCTATTTCTGCGAGTGTTACCCTCCTCATGTAGTAGTAGTAACACTTCTAATCTTCAACCCGTAGAGAACCAAATTGTGTTGGAAGTACGGCAAAACTTTTACTATTTTGCAAAAACTATATACGACATCCAATAATGTAAGCAGTTGCCAAGACAAGAGTTGTTCAAAACTCCATCAGCACCGAATGCTTTGATTCAAAGCCCATAAGGAGAGGAGTCTTTTTGGATAAAAATGTCTTTTCCCTCTCATGGGCAAGTAGATGCTGTTCTACTAAGTACCTCTCTGTGGGTGGGAAGAACATGCTTTCAACCAAAGAAAGGGACCAAAAAAAAACCTAATGGGTGGTTGGCCACTGCTCTGGTGTGGTTTGCTCCTTCTTTCCTGTCAAACATCTATCGTCCTGATCTCTCCTCCTTCTTTTTGTGTTTGTAACTCCCTTACAACACCTCTAATCTTCAGCACGTATATGACCTTATTGTGTTGCAAGTGCCGTAAAATTCTTACTAAAACTAAAACTAAAAAAACAGACACATACTGTACTCACAAAAGAAAAATATAAAAGGCAGCATTTAATTCATATAACTTTATTTATTCGCACATAACATTATATATTATAGTCTTCAAATGTGCGGTCAGTCTTTCGTTCATCCATTAGTGCGTCTCCTCGGTGTAGGTGCGGCTTGCATCTGGGGAGGTAACAAGTGTTTGCCATGTATCAGTCATCCATGGGAGATTTTATGTTGAATTAGTTACTTAGGAAGAGAAACGAAGAACTATTTGCACGCTGTGTGTGCATTGCCTCGTCGAATCTTGCACTTTACAGAACTGGTAATGAAAGTAGCCTTGAAAGTTCAAAATTGAAAGATGCTATCAAAGATTCTGTATAACAAGATGGTTCACTCCTCTCTTTGAGCCAGTTAAAATGGGTGTCTCCAAAATCCAGAGGCACCCTCTTCGAAAAAGCGCCCGCTTTGCCAACAGAGTTACCCTACTTGTGTTATGTACGATCTTTGATGCTATTCAGCTGAGTGTCTGTCGGGTGACTATTATTACAACTGTACAGTCAACGCATGAGTCTTTAGGGCAAACTTTGAACTTGGAAGGAAATGTATAGCCCACTTTCCATATAATATTAACCTTTTCACAAAGGGGGAAACGGGGGAAACTGAACAGCAGAACTGGAGAAAGAAGTATTGGGAGGCTACATCGTTCCTCTCCAACAAAGTTCAAGTTTTTGTACTTGTTTTTTCTTTCCAGATAATAAATCATTAAGTTATTTGATTCCCCAAAGTCTCAAAGTCCTTGGCTTACTTTGCACAGCATAATTATAGCAGGTGGTTAGAGGGTGCCACTGGTAGTGGTAGGTTCTATTTCTTTACTTTCCCTCTTTTGTTTCTGTCTGTCTGTCTGTCTAACTTTTTCCCAGCACTAAATGACCATTATTGTGTCGATGTGTTACTTTTTTTGACTCAAACAAAGCATAATTATACTTAAGAGGGGTGTTATATTTTTCTCTTTTGAAGGTATGCAGTACAATAATACGATAATTTCAACTCAATTACTCAATCACTGTAAAAAGACATTCATATCGAGTTTCTTCAGCTCTAGATTATGAGTGGTTGGCGGGTGTTGTGGTGCTGTTATCTCCTTCTTTCCTTTAAAAAATCTATCGTCTCTATCTCCCCTCCTTCTTTTTTGTGTCTGTTACTCTCTTGTAACACCTCTAATCTCCGGCACTTATATGACCTTATTGTGTTGCAAGTTGCAATGTGCCGTAAAGCGCTTACTAAAACTAAAGCTCTCAATTCTGAAACTGTTTCTTCACTCACCTTATGTGCACTGCATACAGCTACAGGAACCGATGCTTGTCACACTGATCTTAGTGACGGACTCATCGGCACAGTTGAAGCTGACTTCCTTGACGACCAGGTTAGCATTGCAACATTTACAGTCGGAGTAGGTGTTCATGTCAAAGGCAGGAGGTTTGATAGGATCTTGTGAATAACTTGCAAAGTAGTTGCCACCGGAGCTGCTGAAGCCACAAGAGCCTTCACAGACCTAGAAAAAGGAAATAAGAAACAAATTTAGTGAAGGAAACGCAAACAGCATTGGTATGGACACATCACCCGTTCATCCGGCCTTGCCAAGATCATCCTGCAAGGCAGCGACCAGGGAAAGAGGAGCAGAGGCAGACCGAAAAAGAGTTGGGAGGACAACATCAAGGAATGGACAGGCCTGGAATTCAAAGACATGCTCAGAGAAGCTGAAGACCGGAAAGAGTGGAGGAAGCTGGTGGCCAAATCTTCAAAAGCCCCGACGGACATCCAGTCTACAGGATAGGTGACGGGGAAGGTTATAGTTATAGTGAAGCATTCTCCTTCATCATAATAAAAACGTATTCATACTCTCTGCACCGTGGGTCGTTGGCTGGTGCTCCTGTGTATATTGTTCCTTGTGTTTCTGTTCACATTCAGAGGTACAGTTGATAACATAGGGTCGTTATTGGGCTGACTTGCAGTAGATTACACATTACACTCGACAGCTCAAACCCTCCTAACATTCATGAACACCCACAAGCAAACACAGCTCTCATAAAGACAAACAGTAAGATGACAGATTTTGCTTTGTACCTACAGACGAAATACATGTATATAAAAAAAAATTGGGAGCTGAATGTCTGTTTGCTGTGTGCATGTTCGTTATATGTGTATTTTGCTATGTGTGTGTTTTTCTATACAAGTTATTTAATAATTATTTAAGTGCATGCAAGACTGTATTTCCTCTTGACCAAGATTGAATTTCAATACATAAGTCCTACCTATGGCTCATAAATGGCTTACAAAATATGAATTCTGCTGGATTGTTCGTTGTTTCTACATGATGCATAATAAAGAAAGCGCACTCACCTTGATTTCAATATCCTCTGAGATACAGAGTCCGCTGTTGGTGCTTGTGTAGTTGAGTTTGGTGGATCCCACAACTTTGTCCTCGCAAGGCTTCATCCTTGGCACGCACTTAGGACAGCAAGGATCGTCTGGGTTGTCCTCAAGCATGTGTGTATCCTGGGGGAAGATTGAAGGAGAATTAACTTGCCTGTGCAACATGGTGCAAGTAATGATTGCATTCATATAGCGCATATATATAGAAATATATGAGGAAGCGTAAGCGCTGATCAGTGTGGCGAATCTCTTCTCGGGGAGCGGGAGGGGGGCAGTCATCAGGCCATCGTTGATTCCCTTAGGGGGAGCTGCCAGCTTGTTGACCAGGTTGGACTTGATAGCAAAACCCACCCCTGCCTTGCCCATGCTCGTAGAGTCCACGACCGATCCAGAAAAAAAAAATATATACAAACTCTACAGCATGGTCTATGCTTTTTACAACTATTGTTACCCCTGGCACACCCTAGAATACAGCTCAGAAACATTCTCCGTTTCCTGGGAAGCTTTAGATTACATGCACTCAATCACTAACAAGCTGACTTTACATTTTTTACTGTCTGTAACTGGGTGGTTGGTGGGTGCTCTGCTGTGGTTTGCTCCTTCTTTGCTATCAAACATCTATCGTCTTGATCTCTCTTCCTTCTTTTTTGTGTCTATTACTCTCTTGCTACACATCTAATCTTCGGCACTTATAATAAAATATGACCTTATTGTGCTGCAAGTGCCATGGTAAAACTCTTACGAAAAGTAAAACTAGACTAAAAACATCTCTACCCCTTGTCACGTAAATCCAGTTCCACTTACGTTGTTGCAGTTGTTGCGGATTTCTTCACATTCAGGTTTGGATGTGTTTGTGCAAACCATCTCGCCGTTTTCACCACAGTAGCAGGTCTCTTGGCAGTCATCTGTCTGCCAGGTGTCTGTGATACAGGGGAACAGAAGATTACGGCTATGAGTCTTGTTACAGACATAATATTTCATAAAGTTAAATTAGCACAACTGCCCCTTTATAATATTACCATTATAATATAGTTATTCACGGTGATCAAAATACCATCTCACATCCTCCCATACAGCATGGCTTGTACAGTAAGTGAAATTGATAAATAATTTATATGACAGTAACGCGCTCTGACATATCCGATAACACAAGGGGAAAAAGTCTTCCTCCTCACTATTATTAGCATTATTATTATGTATTATTATGTATATTTGCATACTGGCATACACATCACTCGACCTACTACAAACAAGACCCCTCTGCGAAACATACTGTATGTACTCTGTGCACTCAGAAACATGTTGGTTTTCCCTACAGAAAATGCTCACAATAATAATAATAGATAGCATTTGTATAGCGCATATCCCCGCTCAACTGCAGGCTCTATGCGCTTTACATTATATTATTACCCCAGCAGACCATAGAACACTCCGAAACATTCTCAGCTTCCTGGGAAGCATACAGTGCGAGCAGCCGATTAAGCGCTCAAACACTAACAAACTGACAAGATCTTTCGCTGTCTATAGCCGGGTACCCATTCCCACCTGGGTGAAGTGAGGAAAATAAGTGTAAAGTGCCTTTCCCAAGGACACAACGTCGGGCCCCTGACGGGATTCGAACCCACGACCTTACGGTTGTGAGTCCGAGAGCCTAACCACTAGGCCACCGACGCCACAATGACTGATAAAGCCCCATGCTACCTTTGGTAATTCTAGATGCAGATACACAATGCAATACCTCTGTCCCAAATAGGCGTTTCAATCTTACCTGGGTTATTCTTGGGTTCACATTGCATGCTGCCGGAGTCACATTTACTGGAGAATAAAAGACGTTGAAGAGCTTAACATTGACGTCTTGCAGAACAATTCACGTGGAGTGGGACAGAAAAAAAAAGTTTCACAGATGAAAAATTCCTTTGTGAGGCACCGTGGTGAAATCAGGCGCTCGTCAAAATAATGAAATTGAAGAAACTAGCATTTTTCTGCCAGTTTGGTTAATCGTTATTGAATTTTTGCTTTTTTTAGTTTATTGACACCATTGTTGTCCAATTAAGAACACATTTCTGGGTGGACTTTTACAGAAGAACGATTAAAGAGGCATATCACTTCCTCAAAAACAGATGATAAACCCTACGTCAAAAGCTGGCCCAGGTTCTGCCTCTTATTGTGTTGTCTGTCACTGCAGGCACTACAATCCTGCTATACGTAGACCCTACTCTTTTTTTATCCTAGAGTAGCTGAAACATTTTCCACTCTCTTATATACAGTATAGCACAATACACTGAAACACGTTGATCAAAATCACAAAAATATAAATTTGTAGAAAATCAGTGCAACATGTGGTTCTTGAATTTATAGCAAACTTACACCTAATGTTATGTATTCCCATCTAAATCATGAAGCTGAAACCTTTAAGGAGACTCACCCCAGAACAGAAATATATAATACAAACGGGTCAACTATGTCTCAGTGTCGACAATTCCCGTGGAAACATCATGTATGATAGTACAAAAATATAAAGGACAGAGACAAAACTGTGACGTCGAAGTAAAGAATGAGCCAGCTAAACTATGTCAATACACAGAAGGTCACTCACCAGTATTTACACTCATCATCGATGATTTCATCAGGAGCATATTCTTTACCCATGTATATGCATGGACATTCATTCTCCATGCAGTCTTCTGTTTCTAGGAGTTTTTCAGCATCACATCCCATTCCAGTTTGTTCCCTGCGATGCACGAGAAGAAAATATATTATATATTGTCTTGACAAATAATCAGACTTCCCCCTCCGAGACCTAACATTACCAACACAGTCTACGGAACATTACACTAGAATTTTACCTTTTCCTTTTATTTTCAGTCGCAATTTCAACAATTGTCGAATTCTAGGTTGACTCTCACTTACACAATTGTCAAAAATGTGCGTTTTATTCATCAAACTGACATTTTGATACCAACTATGTGACTTCAGACTCTTAAATATATCTCTGCACCCTTTAAATGATTTTGAACTACCGTTAATTTTTTTTCAAAATCGTTAGTTAAGTGGTTCGGAAGTTTTAGGTGACTCAAGTGAGGAACTTTCCCAGATATGATAAAACATAGGATACCTTGTTCTTGTCTTGATTCCTTGTCCACATGTGACAGAGCACTCGGACCATCCAGACCATTCTCCCAACTCACAGCCTAAAAGATACAAAAGTTTCATGTGACGGATAACGGGCGGATTAATGTTAACACGAATACATGTCAAGAGGTGAGAGCAGCAAAAGGAAAGAGAAGTGGGGGAAAAAGTTCACGGGAGGGAG